CTGTAGTGCGGAGGCACTACAATAGGGCTTACAGCTAACCAGCCAGGGTAGCTAGCCGGTGATCTATAAGAGGTCAGCACGCAGAACTAGCGCAGGAACTTCTCACTGTTAACGAATTGTGGCAATTTATAAGAAATATAGCATGTAGAAACTAGAAGTGCTTGTAAATACCTAAGATTGGGGCTGGCGCTAACGCCGGCACCTGTACCGGCCACCGCCCCAACCGGGCCAAGGAAGCAAGAATTATGATGGGTAGGATTTTAAGAAAGTTGAATTAATAAACTTGAAGGATGATGGGTTTTTGACTATTTGGTATGGGTGTATGAGGTATGAGTTGAATGTAGAAGATTTGTCAGAAGGGTGCCCTATTCGTGGGCCAAGTGGCACCGTAGCGGCAGCAGAGAATGCTGCCCACTACATTTGGGGGCTGTTCCGGAAATGAAACTTTTTTTCCCAATCTGAGGATAATAGAAACACTTTGTCTAAATGATTCACACCCCCACAGCTTAACTCGGTAAGGCGTGCATCTACGCAACGTAGGCGTTATCAGCCCCACAAAACAGGAGACTCCTGCAATGTCCGTAAGCAAGATGCCCAGCGGGACACCGGCTCATCATCCTCATGCTCCTCCGAAACCCACCGTGGCAGGGCGGCCGCATGAACATAAGAAGGCGCCCCCACAGGTGGCACCTATAACCAATGTTATGCCAGGGGACAATCCGTACGTCACGTGGGACCAATTCCGCTCCGCTATGAGTGTGATAAGAAGTGTTATAGGCGGAACCGGGGCATTGGACGCAACGTTTCCCATACTTCGTGAAGACGGCAGCAATGTGCAGGCCGTTTTGCTGGGCGTCGAACGACGGTACATCCAGATGGGAATGGAGCCCCGCGACTGGGGGAGCGCACTTATTGACCATCTTGTGGGCTTCGCTCTAACGTATTGAATATATCTACGACGAACTATTGACCTAAATGAATGGGCGGCGGCAGAGCGCCGGCTTTTCGAACGGTTCGACAAAATGATGTCGCAACGTCAGTTGTTAGCGGAGTTGGCTAAAGTACGGTGGCATGGCAACGCTAAGGAATACACGGACCAATTTGCGCCTGTAGGGGTGCATGGCGTGGGGGTCGCCCCCGACGAACTCGCTCCCTACTACTGCCCCAAGCTACCGACGGGCCTCCATCTTCTTATAACAAATAACGGGCAGGTGAAGTCCTCTCGTGGGAACCAGCGGCAACAGCAACAGCGAGGCTCTACAAAACCTAAGCAAACCGTGCTAGGCCTACGAGAAAGGACCAGTCGAGCCATCAGAGATGCTGACCAGGCAACTGGGCCCCGTCGGAATCGGATTTAAAAAACAGCCTTGGAAAAACTCCGGGTACTGCTACGAGTGTCAGGGTCGTGGACACCCGGCACGAGTTTGTCCCAGCAAAGGGGAACGAACCAAGCGCCCTGGCGAGGCCTGCAAGAAGTGTGGAGGTGTGGGACACTATGCTCGTGACTGTCCTACACACGGGCGAGGCCGGACGGAGCCGGAAAACAAGAGTAGCAGGCAACCTATCCGTCCGAGCACTGAGAAGACCGAACGGTTAAACCGCGAGGCCTAGGCGGAGTTGGAGACGAGCGCTCTAGGCCGCGTAGCCATGGCAGAGGGATGCTGTGTCCGGTAGCGACAGGACCTAATGCCATTCCAGTGTCCCTAGAGCGGGGGCACCGTCCCCTCAACATGGTAGAGGAAACGGAAATGGGCGATGAGGTCCTGAGGGGGACTCAGCCGCCTTCGGAAACCCGGTTGGAGTCTGGGCCGGCACCGATGCGGAGTGAAGAGGCTCCGTGCGAGGAGAAGGATAGTAGAGGGAAATCTGCAGAAGCGACAGAAGAAGACTGCAGGCCAGAAGCGATAGAGACTATGCCGCACTGGTGGAGGGAAACTAGTGCGAAGGAATCTTGCAGCCAAGGAGGAGCCTTGTGTTACGTGGGTGCAACAGCGATACTTCGCGTTGAGCTTGCAGGAAGTTCATGCGAGGGACTTTTGGACACAGGCGCTTCGAGAAGTTTCATTAACCCTAAAACAGTCGAACGGTTGCAGCTGAGGGTGCAGAGACTTCCAGAAGAGCATAAATTCGATGTTGCTACAGGTGAACAATTACGCAATGATGGAGTGGAGTTGTGACGGGGTTGACAATGTGGTGTGGACACGGACACTTTTAAGGGGACTTCTTAGTGGGACCTGTTCCCTATGGTATAGTCTGGGGTTTGGATTGGCTGACTGAACATAATGTGGCCTAGTATTTTCAGTCCGACAAGCTCCGGACCTATGTGAACGTCCAGTGGTGCGAGGTACCGGTCGTTAGGACGTGTGAAAAGACAATGCAGGGTGACAGTCACATAGTAGCACCTCCAAAGACTCCTGCGGAGCAAGCATATGACATTTTGGCTAAGCAAGTGGCGGGTATGTCAGCGGAGGAGGCCGCCATATTCCTACGGCCGCCACTTGAAAGACATAAATCCCATGCGAAGACTAAGACGAAGGCACGGATAACGTCGCTTGTTCCCCAGGCGGCGGCCGACGCAAAGAATCTCGGGGCACCATTGCACGGTTTGCATCACATCCTGGCTTTGCCCGACGCTGGTTCTTCAGTGGCACTGAGGTTCACGGAGAAGTGGCAAGGCGCATTTTGCTGCACGTTGATCAGGAATCGACACAGAGCTTTCGGTTGTAGCTGTCCTTTGGCCTCTACTGCCTTGACAACAGCGGAGGATGAAGAAGAGTCTCCATGGCCTACAGCAAAGCTGGAACACACACTCTTCGATGAGTGGATACTCTCGACAGAGGCACAAGCTATTCCATTCGAGATTACCAAGGTGTTGAAAGAGTATCGGACAGTATTCCCCGATAACTTACCAAAAGGATTACCGTCAACGCGTGCTCATGATCACCATATCCTACTTGTACCTGGGAAACTTCCAGCGAAATATACGATTCATCGAATGACCCCAGATCAGCTCACATTCCACAAACAGAAGACGGCTAAATTATCGGACAACAGTTGGATCGGACCAATATATTCGCCTGTCTGCTCTCCTACGATAATGGTCGACAAGCGTGATGATGGCTTAGGGGAGCGGAAGATGCGTATGCTGGTTAATTACCAGGCTCTCAATGCCCCTACAGTAGCTCCTGATTTTACACTACTTCCCATTCAAACCATTCTGGAGATGCTAGGAGGCTCCAAGTATTTGTGCACTCTGGATCTTGAAGCAGGACTCCATCAAACACGTATGGCCAAGGAAGACCGCTGGAAGACGGCTTTCCGTCCCCTTCTAGGGCTATTGGAATATCGAGTTATGCCCTTTGGCCTTAAAGGTGCCCCAGCTACGTTCCAGGCCAGCATTAATGCTTATCTACAGCCTTTATTTGGACAGGTGTTATTGCGTACCTAGATTATGTACTTATTTATAGTTCCGACCTCTCTGGATACGTTCCCCTCCTGCGACAAGTTCTCAGTATTTTTCTGCAAAACCAATTCTACCCAAAATTCCGCAAATGCAAGTTCGCTAGGCAAGCACTCACAAATTTGAGTTATACCATCATTGCCGAAGGCATCAAACCTGCAGAACACAAAATCGAAGCTCTCCAACATTGGCCAGAGGTGCTGGAAAATGAAACGCAAGTGCGGCAGTTCCTCGGCGCCATAAATTACTGTCCCATGTTCATGGGACCGGACTATGTCGGGTGTCCGCGACACACCCGTAGCAGTTCCCGGGACTTTCCCAAGGCTGATTTTCGTTTACTCGGTTCCGACGGAGTCCATTTGCCTGGTCAGCAGCTCTAGCTCTAGTGGCTCGACTGGTCCTTTTTCGTAGCGCCCGCACGGTTTGCCTAGGCTCGTAGAGTCGCGCTGCTTCCGCTGGTTCCCACGAGAGTTGCTTCACCGGCCTGTTATTTGTTATGGGAAGATAGTAGAAAGCGAGTTCGTCCGGGGCGACCCCCACGCCATGCACCGTTACAGCCGCAAGCCGGTCTGTGTATTCACTAGAGTTGCTGTAGTACACTGCGCCCTCAACAGCGTCTACGTTGCTGCACAACCCTGAACTCTGGCATCTAATGAAATCTTCTCTATTACCGACGCATCTGTCGCGTAACGTCTACCAATTTGTTAAAAAGTCCGTTTGTTTCAACTGCTGAAAACCATATTTCTTATATATGTCGTTCCTTGCGCTTGCAATTGACTTCGCGATATTGTTTTGGCGAACCTTCCTGAAAGCCGGCGCTCTGCCATCGCCCACTCAGTTAGGTCAGTAGCTCCTCGTAGATATATTCAATACGTTAGAGCGAAGCCCACAAGATGGTCAATAAGTGCGCTCCCCCAGTCGCGGGGCTCCATTCCCATCTGGATGTACCGTCGTTCGACGCCCAGCAAAACGGCCTGCACATTGCTGCCGTCTTCACGAAGTATGGGAAACGTTGCGTCCAATGCCCCGGTTCCGCCTATAACACTTCTTATCACACTCATAGCGGAGCGGAATTGGTCCCACGTGACGTACGGATTGTCCCCTGGCATAACATTGGTTATAGGTGCCACCTGTGGGGGCGCCTTCTTATGTTCATGCGGCCGCCCTGCCACGGTGGGTTTCGGAGGAGCATGAGGATGATGAGCCGGTGTCCCGCTGGGCATCTTGCTTACGGACATTGCAGGAGTCTCCTGTTTTGTGGGGCTGATAACGCCTACGTTGCGTAGATGCACGCCTTACCGAGTTAAGCTGTGGGGGTGTGAATCATTTAGACAAAGTGTTTCTATTATCCTCAGATTGGGAAAAAAAGTTTCATTTCCGGAACAGCCCCCAAATGTAGTGGGCAGCATTCTCTGCTGCCGCTACGGTGCCACTTGGCCCACGAATAGGGCACCCTTCTGACAAATCTTCTACATTCAACTCATACCTCATACACCCATACCAAATAGTCAAAAACCCATCATCCTTCAAGTTTATTAATTCAACTTTCTTAAAATCCTACCCATCATAATTCTTGCTTCCTTGGCCCGGTTGGGGCGGTGGCCGGTACAGGTGCCGGCGTTAGCGCCAGCCCCAATCTTAGGTATTTACAAGCACTTCTAGTTTCTACATGCTATATTTCTTATAAATTGCCACAATTCGTTAACAGTGAGAAGTTCCTGCGCTAGTTCTGCGTGCTGACCTCTTATAGATCACCGGCTAGCTACCCTGGCTGGTTAGCTGTAAGCCCTATTGTAGTGCCTCCGCACTACAGGTTGCACGCCAAAAGCGATTCAGCGTACACGTAGACTGTGTGCTCGCTCTGTACTTTGCCTAGCTCCCCGAGCAGTGCAAGCCCGCTCTTGAGTTTGTTCGCGAGCACTAGCGACGCGGCAGCTATTGGGGAGTACCGCATCCTCAAAGTGGCTACTGGGAGCAGTCGGGGTAGGATACAGGTGGCTTCGAGATGGTGCATCCGCAGCTACTAATGTGGCTGCGTCACCGCCTTTTGAGGTTAGTGCTGTAGCCCGATTGATTCGTTTTTGTGCGACTTGAACTAACCCTTGATCTCAGCTTTCGGTTGGTCTTCTTGGAGGCTCACAGACGGTGTTCAGGGCGCTCGCTCTATGACCATCTCTGGTGAGGGTCGTCTCGTTGTTTCAATGACCTGTCTGTTACGCAGGCGTTGATCCCGCTCGCTGCATGGCATGCCAAAGCAAAGTCTTACCGGAGAAGCGTTACATAGGCTATAAAGCCTGAAGTTTGTAGGTGTGGTTCACTAAATTAAGGTACCTAGAGTACATTGCTGTGGAGACGGGAAAATTGTTGATTCAAGGAGAGCGACCTCTGTTACGGTGAAGGAAATGCTGGAAGTCTCGAAGCCCTGTTTTCAAGTGGAAGCCGGTCAAGCAGTATCCACAAAAGGCAGGTGAATGGAAAAATGCTTTACTCACTCAAACGTGCGCCGAGTAGGGGACGCCAAAGATATTCCATTGCAAGTCGATATGAGCTTGAGCCACGTGCACAAAAGACTGCACTAAGGATGCCTTCGCACTTAGTGCTAACGGCTGCAATGTGAGGTACCCGAAATTCTTGCTGGCCCGCTTAATTGGATGGCGCCATACTTTCCCTTGTCGCATCCTTCCAAGGTGTGATTCACGCCCTGGAGGACACAGTAAACAGTACGGGTGAACACTTGTAGAGTTACAAGCTGTGATTCACGCCCTGGAGGGCGCAGTAAACAGTTCGGGTGAACACTTGTAGAATTACGGAGCTCGCTCCCAAGTGAAGGACTCTTGGGCTTCTGCTCGCGCGCTGGTAGGGGACGGGGAACGAAAGGGCGTAAAGCTCATTAAAGCCGTAATATCATCTAATTAGGTTACTTGGCCGCTTGTTTTGAGTATCGATGTCTCCATTTTACTTCAAAGCTAATTTTGTGTAGCTACAGAACACATTTCGTACTTCCGTCGATACCAGGTTAGCAAGAAGCCCCTACAGATATTATACACGATGCTATTTTGTGCACTTGAAACACTGACGCATGAGCCAATGCCTTACGGAATGAGTTTGCCGACGCTTGCCGTCGAGACAGACTTCGAACTTAATGCAATACTTTCAACGATGCACTGTTGACTCGCCTTGCCTCTTGGGCTGGCTTAGTAGGGCCGCAGCACTTCACAAGAGGCGCGCCTTTAGGGTGAGTCTAGCCATCCTAGCACAGTTGAGGCAATCTTAGATCACGCTGCATTACCTTTGGTACCTAGCAAAATTCCTACGCCACAACGGAGTAATGCCGAATTGGCTATGGTGTTCAAAGCTATATGCAACGGTAGCGCAGTTGCGTGGATAACCTTTTTTCTGTGGTCACTTCCCTCGAGCTAGCACTGTAATACGTAAGCTGACTCTGAATTGCACCGTGGTTCGGTGTACCGCTTTCTTGAGGAATTCAAAATATTTATGGAACCAAATGCGTCTCGTTGTGCCGGACACTGACAAAAATTTGTGCCTTGCAGTGAATTTCCAGAATCACAGCACTGGATCTTAGTGCTGCACTGCACCAAATTCCAATGCGTTTAAACGGTAAAGTCTAAATCTTGCACTTGAAGTTTTGAGTCTTTAGTTTGCTTGGATTTCTAGCTGCGCCGCAGAGGCTTGCATTATGCACACTCTGAGTCTGACAAGAAGGAACAAGGAGTAATATACTATTATTACGTCACATATGCGTACTAGCCTACAAGAGACAAGCAATCTGCCCTGGTTCTTACTTTGTTGTGCTTTCGGTGAGTGCGCTATTAGTGTATTTGGCGGTATTCAGCAGGTATAATACTTGGCTGGGAAAATTTACCGCCTCAGTGGTTATCGATGTGCTCGATCAACTTGTTTGTTTTGTCAAACGTTAGACTGCGCATGTTTCCGCAAGATGGAGAGCGTAACACTTTTCCTTGATGTTTGCTGTGACGATTTCTGTAAAGTTAGCATTAGGAAAAAGTAGCGTTTAACCGGGTCGCCTTCTGAAGGAGATCTTTGACGTGAACTGAAAAGCGATCTTACAGCAGGAAGGCTCTCGACAGAAATAAGCATGTGTAGCAGGATAGGCTCTTCATCGGTCTCTCAGAGCTACGTTCCTAGTATTCTTCCATGGCTGGATCAGCTAACGCTGCTCAATTCGTGTTCGTGGCAATTTGTGAGTGCACTTGCTCCGCTTGATTATCCAAAGGGCTATGCAAGCTTTCACTGTCTTCAGCACTACTGGCGGCTTTTGTAATGCATTCAAGCCTTTTGCGATGCCCTGAAGAATACGATGTGGGCTAAGCTGTGTCTAGCAAGGCGTTCGAAACAAGCAGCCTAGTCAGAGAGGATTACTGTGTTTTCTTGCACCATAATTTATTGTGTTACCTTGTAACCTGGTCTGTCGTATACGTTTACAATGCATGACTGTGGTGATGGAAACTTTTATCTGAAGGCTAGTGTCTATGGCCAGTATACCAATTCGATAGAGAGCTTTCAAGTGGGTGCGGCTACGTAATAATCCTCATTGTTTGCGTTTAAGCATGATAACCCCACATTTACCTTATAATGGTATTTTGCGGCCCTTCCTATAGTTGCAGCTCGTGCCTCGTTGTCTGCAGATTCTTACGGCTCATGCGCACGACTGTGGAAGAAACGTCATATCTACCGGATAAACATTTCTATTTAAAACGAAGGAACAGTACGCAGACGTATCCCTGTACTGCTATAGCACTTGATACATGCACGAATGAATATGCATTTGTAACCTTTCCCCGCCATGCTTCTGCGTGATCATTTCTCACCTATATAGTACTTCTTGAATTTCTTTCAATTATTGAATAGCCCCTGGAAAATTCGTCTTAACATGAATGAGCCATTACTAGGGAGGCTTATCGTTGTTCAGGTGCGGCAAGAGGATTTTCTACAAACTGCTCATCGGCCCTTTCAGCTTTGTCAGAGCACTGGGGGTTTGCATTAGAGTAACGACAATGTGTCGCGTTTAATACTGAGTCGGAAAAAAGTTCACAAAATCTCGTAGAGAACGCCAGAAGCAAACCAAGCCATCGAAAGTGCGACTTCTATATACTGCAACTGCCAGGATCATGCGGATGCCCTAAATACTTTACCATAAATGAAGGTACTGCTAGGAACCCGTAACGTTGCGCGCAACATAACTTTCTTCTCAGAAAGTTCACTGCAGCTATGTTTGGATCACACACTGCTCCACGTGTCAACTCGTGCGCCACAGCTCATGAAGCGATGACGAATTTGCTGTAAAGATTGAGGCATCAATACACACTTTGAAATGGGTAATCACCACCTAGGCAGGTCAGATGCGCAATAGCACTTTGGCTGGTTGATTGAAGCAGGCTCAACAAGCTCAGCACTGGGAAACCAAAATGCCGCTCGGAATACACGAATATTCCCTGCTTCAATCGTCACGTTGTGAGCTACTTTTCATTGGACAAAATTAGTAAGCAGCAGGCCTCCTTCAAAACAGACACTTTTCTGAAGAACGCTAGCTGAGAGTACTATATATTCTGCCCAGTCATGTTCGGCCAGGTGTGCTTTCAGTGTCCAAGTATCAAGGAGAATGCCAACTACTGTGTGGCGCGCCGGGAAATTTCAAAAAGCCGAGCGACAAGCAGATCTCGGCGCAATTAAATAATTCCTTCTCCCACCTGCAGGCGCATGCGCACTCCAACGTACAGGATGGAATGCTGTACAACCTTGAGCGTGCCACTCGCAAATCGCTGTAATAAAACGTCACAGACATTTGCAGATGCAGAGTCATCAAGCGTCTCTTCATTGTCTGATTTTTCAAGCATTAACTTTAACATGTGCAGGCTAGGATTGTGAATGCTCCGATACGTGCAATGATAAGCATGAGCTGGTCTTTCACCTTTTCCTCTCAAACAAATCAACCAGGCAACCTCTGTAAAACTTGCTGGAACTGTTGAACCATCGGAGCTTGTGAACTGAGAACGGCATTCTGAGACAGTTACTGTGAAGGAGTCACTCTTTGCTGTGACGAGATGGAACAAGCTGCACATGTGATGCTGTCTTTTCTCTGAGCCATCAGACACGGCTTACGTCGTGGCAGGTAGTACACACCACAGGGGTTGGTAAGCTAAGTATATATAGTTTCTGCGGTAATTCGCAAGCACTGAGTGCT